GATGCCCTGGATAACTGTGGGATAAAGAAATGAGCCTTTCTTCCTCAATGAGGCCCCTTCCGCCTCGGCCTTGCAGGGCTGGGGACCTTCTGATCTTGTGTTCCCGCATGGATGGGGAGGACGGGGACATCGTGCCTGTATGTGGCTCCTCTCCCGGCCTTTGCCCTTCCTCTGGCTGGTGAAATCCGGTGAAAAACGGATTCCCGGTGGGATTCGCGCCACCCGGGCTGCTGCTCTGACCCAAACACCCTTTATCATCAAACAGGTGGGACGAGAGCAGAGCGTGCAGCACATATCCATAAACACCCACGCTACAGGGAAGGCGGCATTCCAGCTCGCAGTTCCGGCATAGGAAGCGGCTCCGTTTGGGAATGACAAGAGCCCTATTCCCACACGGGTGTCGGCGGCGAGTCGGACACTGGCTCCCGTGCGGATAGAGCACGAGGTCCCTCGTGCACCGGAGCCTCGCATGGAGCAGGGACAGGAGGGAGGGCCCGGCAGGAGCGCAGAGCCTTGAATCCCATGGGATTAACGCACAGCTGCGTGGCAGGGGATGATGCCGTGCCACTTGCTAGCGATGTTCTGGGGCAGGAAAGGGGAGAAAAGCACCGCTGCTGCTTGCAAATAGCAGCTGGCAGAGCCGCCTCCAGCCTGGGCTTTTGCTGGAAGACTTGATAGCCCCAGAATTCATTTCAAGCCCTTTCCAAGCAAACAGTTTAATTCTGCTGACCTTTAATCCCTTACCGGGGTCCTGAAATAAATGACTGGCTTGAACACGGCTTTGCAGCACACAAAGCCACGCGGCCATTACCGTGGCAGGCACGCAGGATCCACCTGGGATGCTGCTATCACCTAGTAACGGGCGAGCACCGCGGGTTATCGGCGTCACATCTCGCTTCGGCGGGCGCAGCTCTCCCCTCCGCTGCCGGGAGAGAGCGGCTCTCATTCCCCCCGGGAAAGGCAGCTCCGGCGGCTTCACCCGCAGGAGTGACGTTAAAGGAGTTATCAGCTGGTGCTGGGCGACTTGGCAGCCCTCCTGGGGCGCTTCAATTTACTGTCATCGTTAAGGACAAAGACACCGATGTCGAACGCTGGGCATCCTGTAATGGATGGAGCGCGGGCTGCGGAGGAGTTCACTGAGATGCAGAGCATCCATCTTACTTTAAGTAATTAGGCCTGCAGGAAGAACTGCGCTAGCAAAAGCAAGGCTGCAGTCAGCCCTGCCACCCTTCTCCCGACCCTGCTCCCATTTTAAATTCCTGGGTAGGCTCCTGGAAGGGGAAGGCCGGTCGGCTCGTTAGCCGGGGCGCAGGAATGAGGCTGCAAGGAGAACGGGGCTGCGCAGTTAGCAGCGATTCCCGCTGCCACAACAGGGCTGCCGGAGCCGGCCCCGCGCAGCCGGAGAGGCCCGAAGAGGCTCCGCAAAAGCTGTTTCCTTGACGACCTTCCTTGCCTTTTTTTTTTTTTTTTTTTTTTAACTGAAATGGGGTTTTCTTGCCCTGCACAGCGGGTGCTGGATCAGGACTGGCTTCGAGTCCTCCTTGCAAAGATGCCACAGAGACAAATGAGAATCGCGCCCACAGGATCGGCCAAAAGCCACGGGGAAAGGTCCCTGTCCCACGTAGCTGCTGAGCAACCAGGCAGGGCTGGAGCCCTGGAGCCGGAGCCTTGGGCTGGAGAGAAACAGGTGTAAAGAAAGGGACCAAACTTCATTAAACTGTGCGTTTTTCTAGCTCTTCCCCCAGCTTTCTTTCCATTGGTCTGACATTTTTGTTACCATCCTTCTCATTTTGAGTGGCCAGGGCAGAACCGAAGGGCTCACGGGGTCCCGCAGGCAGCTCTCGAGCAGATTCCCATCGGCAGTGGGCAGCACCGCCACCCTGGGGAGCCCATCACATCCCCATCTCCCCTGCCCTGTGCCCGAGCTGACGGCAGGAGCCCCACGGGCCTCCTTGCTGCCCCCAGCAGCTCGGGCAACGAGCAGGTATCGCTGTTAGACCTGGCCAAGACTTTCCAGCAGAACAGAGGCTCCCTCCTGCTATAATCTAAATTGCCCAAATCGGAGCTTTCTGCAGACACATCAATCCCATCAGTTTTCAGCCAAAAGTATGAGGCTCACCTGGATTCCCAGCACTTTGCTTTTCTACTCAAGGCCCCGGATTGCAGGGCTGGGAAGCAGCAAGGAGCAGGCATCAACAAGCTGCTATTTCAAACACATCTCCCAGCTTCACTCTGGGCCCATCTCATGGGCTTTGCTGCTCTTTTTTTCTCGGAAAAATTCTTGTTTCAGTCCTAAAGCCATTTATATTCCATGCAAGAACGTCCTCTTCCCTTTGACTGCTGAAAATTGCTTCTATCAGGAATAAAGGAACACAAGAGCTGGACTGTGTTGCAGGTAGCGTTATCCACGACAAAGGGAACTCCAAAGCACTGAGTGGGATCAATCGGAATAAGCCCGTGCCACCCATGCAGCAGCCTTGGGGATAACAACAGCAAGGACAACACCAAGTAGAAACAAACCAGTAGCTTAGGAAGGTCACAGGCTCCGTGCACGCTCTCCATAGATATTCACAGCCCTGTTCCTGCCCAGCTTCCCTAACGGGACACAGGAGCGATTCCTTACCTTCTTTTTCCCACCTTGAACTCTTCTAGTGCATCCACAGGTTTGCAGCAGGGATTTCCCTCTGGCGATGGCTCTCCGGATCCCTCATTTGTCTCCATCTAGAGTTAAGCCCTGGAAGAAACGGCACAGACGGAGCCACCTCAAATCCCGGTTGTCCTGCACAGCCTGCAGCCACCGCCAGAATAAAGGAGCTTCTCCAGCTGCTCAAAATCTCTCCCAAACAGCTTCTCCACGAGGGAAATCCCACCACAAACGCTGCTCATGGGAGCTGTTCCTCATCCCCGATTCAGGGACCTGCTCAGCGCCCAAAGGAGATGCACAAGAGTCTCCTGGTTCCCATCCCGGATGGCAAAGCCCTCAGCATCCGCACCCACAACGCGCTTGTGGAACAGTGGGTCATGACGAGGGAAGGGCTCAAGATTTAATTCCATGCCTTTGTTGGAGTTTTTATTCCAAAGTGGTATTTGAAGTATTTAATGCAAGTCTGCCAAGAAAATTGGTACCTGTAAGAGTCCTCAAACAGCCTGAAATGAATGGGGTTCTATGTGGTGTGAAACGTGTGACCTGTTACACGTCTTCAGAGGCTGTCACAGGAGTAAATCCAGTTCTAGGAAGGCCTCCCTGACACTTCATTTCCACAGCAGAGTCAAGGGGCTCCTTAGCACCCCCAGCTTCACACCCACGCGCTTCACACCTCAGCCCCACTGCCCTTACGCCTTCGTTTGGGCCTGCCCAAAAAAAGCAAGGAAAGGAACATTTTTCATCTGCGTAAACCTAGAGAGGCAACAGATTTGATGGAAAGCTTGACATTTTACTTCAAAATCCATTTATGGACAAAAGGCAACTCTCCTTAACACCGCCCCCCACCAAGAAACACATCCTTAAAACGCTCTCTTAAGACTACCCCTGGGATCAATTTGCAACTGCTAGCACTAAATTAAATGATTGATAAATATTCAGTTAACAGGACATCCCCTATTGTAGCAGGGCGATGGGTGACTCCTGCAGTCTCTTTGCCCTGCAGAGCCCCTCCACTTCACGTAACATCCTTAATTACTTCCAAAGCAGCACCTTGGGTGATATAAACACACATGTGATAAGTGATATCACCAGTTAAAGGAAGTCTCAGGATCTGAAGTTAGAAGTAGCTGAGATGTAAGCGGGGAAAAAAAAAACAAAATTAACACGAGGCAGGAAGCTCCTGTCGTACAAGCACAACTCATTTGCAATTAAGCTTGGAAAATACCACGGGGGTATTACTTAAATAAGTTATATATAACTATTCCACAGCACTGCCCTGCACACAGGGGAAAAGGGCCCAGGCTCCAAGACTGCAGAAAGTCTCTCATTGTTGTCACCAAACAATAGCCCCATTCAAGCCCTGCCAGGTGGCACAGGCTCTAGTGATGTCCAGGGCAAGACAGCAAGATTTGCAACAGATCCTTTACGCTTCTCGGGAAAGTTGCTGGAGACTTTTTGGTTGTTTTTACATGTATTTTCTTGTATTAACAAATAATGCCGTTAGCAAAAAGCAGCTGCTGGCTGCAGTGTTGCTTGCTCATCTCTAAAGACAGACTCTCGTTTTCCAGCAGTTGGGAAGCCACCAGCAATCCAAGCTACAGAGCAGCAAACGGTGATGAGGGGATTAGAAACACAAGGGGCATCTACAGAATTGTCCAAAAAAAAGCCTTTTGAGATCAAAGAACAGCGCTTAATACTAATGAATGGCAAGAAATTCATCAAGAGCCAGAGGGAAAAGCCATTTTACTTCAAGACCTTTATTGCACTGTGGCCAAGTGCTGAATATTGTGGCTGTTGGAATATTGCACCCTGCTCGTAACGAAGCTCCCCTGTTAGTGCCTATGCTGAACCACAGTTTGAATCAAGGTGCCTCCCATTATTTTTTCCTCAGATTGCCAAGCATGTACAGGGTAAATAGAACATTATAAATCAGAGTAAAACTAGGGGGAAAAAGGCAAAATTATACATATTAGCATGTAAAATATCTTTTATTGTTCTTCAAAAGGGCTTGGGTTTTGGTTTCCAATCCAGCTCAACACCTACCCCTCCAATCCAACATCTGTCGTTTGACAAACCTGCTTTAACTACCAGTATTTCATTTTATTAAAAACATCAACCATTTTAATGTGCAGAAACAGTTAGAACATTAGTTTCTAGTTTGTGAGGGGAAGGCAAAGGTCAGAATTAGGGACTTTTCAGCATCATTTACCTTCCACGTGGAATCCAACATTACCAGATCTGTTTTTCCCCTAATATAGGCATTGACATCAAAGACACTTCTGCGTTTCCTTTAGCTATTAAAGAAATCAGGAACATTACACAGCTTAAAGGGAGGAAGGAACTTATTACAACAACAAAATTGAGTCGGGGAACAAGAGGGAGCTTTGCAAGGTGCAGTGTTTTCCAGCCACGAACCCACACGCAGGCCTGTTGGTGCACCTGTAAAGCGAGGAGCTTGACAAGTACCATTATCTTCTTGCTAAAAATTATAAATCCCTTCTAGGAATAAAATCACAAAAGGCCATTCCTTGTTTTCGGAAAGTGTTTGTGCGGTTACAAACTGCAAATACAGCTCTGGGAGAGGCAGAAATCCCCCGTGGGCAGCTCACATCTCCAGCTTGTGAGGTATTGGTGAGAGGGGTACCAGGCTGCACCCGCTGCCGGTGCAGAATAAAAGCCTTTGGCTCCACAGAAGATCAGAGGACAGCAAGACCTTAACCCTGGACTCAGTGCTGGTATTACAGACATAGCGTCAAACGGCAAGCGTGTGAGGTCGCTAACGGGGCAGAGCACTAAGTTCACCTGTATTTGGTTCAGTAGCCTGGCTCCAACTGCTTCTTGGAGGCTGGAAAAGGACTTGTTGCAACAAACCCAGCGAGGACATCGGTGGCTCTGCAAAAAGCACGCGGTGCTGGCCCATAAACTGCATGTTTAGCCCCAGTGCTCAGAAAGCAGCATGGATTTTTCCTCCCCCAGAGCCACTGCCTGCTAATGCACACAGGCCTGCTGGTGTGCAAGCAGAGATCCGCCCTTCGGAGGAGGCCGCTAAAAAACAAGGCAACCAGTGGTTAAACTGAGCTGTAAATGGAGGCCGGGCTGGGGAGAGGCTCCTGTCGGGAATCTATACTCGTGGAGCACGTTTGTGTGGCATTAGCTTAGCCTCAGACACGGTACAAAGGAGATCCTCCCTCCAAGCCCTGATTTACTGTGTTCAGTAAGGCAGAGAATCTAGACAGTAGCAAAAAGCCTTTTTTCCTTTCCTTATGACAGATAAGTTATTTTAAGTGTTTGCCTGACCCCCCGCCTTGCTCACCTATGACACTTTGAACACCAGTCTTCTGCCAGAGTAGATTTTCTATCTAACAACAGAAAGACAAGCAACATTTCAGCCAAATTCTTTGGAGAAATACGCCTTAGACGCACGCAGAACCACAGGCACACACATTCATCCATATAAACACACACACAGCTTAAAATACCATCTCCCAAACCTCAAGAAAAGGCCTTTAGCAGATCCAGAGCCACTGGGTAGTGAGGCTTCTGCTAAACCCCGCCAAGGAAGATCCCTCGCACCTGTAGAGCGTGGACAGCATGTGGACACACGGCACGAGCATCGCTGAGGCACTAGGACAGTGCTCAGGTTGGCGGCCAAACTGCTCCCGCACAGCAACAAATCTCCTCGTTTCCGTCTGCCAGCTCTCAGCAAGGAAGGAAAGAAAGAAAGGAAGGGAAAAAATAAAATCCATTTAAGAGAATCCCGTGGGAATTAATGTATCAGGACCTAACTGTGGGGTACTTTCCTCAAATCAAGAAAATAGCTTCTGCACAAGCCAATGCTCTGCTGGTTTTCCTTAGACATAAAATTTACTTTATTTCTTTTTTTTTTTTAAGGTTAAAAATACAGAAGGTTCTGAAAGTGATTTTCTCCTTGCAGATGTTCAAACTGCAGCCTGAGGAGAAAATAATCCTTCACTGAAATGTTTCTCTTTTTTTTTTTTTATTTTTTTTATTTTTTTAAATCATCACCACCATTAGGACAGAGGTTGAGGAGCACTGACTCCACCACTCATTTGATGACGCAGTTTGATTCCAGATTCACATTTCCAGGTGCCAAGAGTCCAGAAAACAGCCATGATAAAACTTCTGCCTTTGTTTAGCATTTCTTTCTATTGAACACAGCAGTGACCGTTGGCATCTTTGAAGCGTAATCGCATCTTAGGTCGGTATTTCTCAAGGTAAAGCAGCTGTTTGGAATTGAAAGCTCCCCTCCTTTTCCTAAAGCAAACAGAACAAAGGCTAATATCAAAAGTACTGCTTCAATCACCACATATATCTTAAAGCAGACTGGTTATTTTACTTCAAAGCTTTCCCATACCCATACAGTGGTATTTTGGCTTCTTTATCCAGTTGGAGAAACGATAAACCAGACCAGCCATGCAGTTCATTATCTAAGGGCCAATGTTAAATCAAAACCCAGCTACCAAGTTCCAGTCTATTTTCTTGGATTGGGAGAGTTTGTTTCCAACATCACCAGGGTTAACCTTCAACAGGGTTAACCAGCAACATCAGGGTTAACCTTCCCTTGAAGATGTATGCATTACTTCATATATTAGCTAACTAAAGCCATGACAGTCAAGGAAATATCTTGTAAATTGTTATATTTAACTTACTGTCTTATAAACTGAACTGCATCTTCGTACTTCATTCCACATTCAATGAGAGCAAGTGCAACCAGGACAGGAGCCCTAAATGAGAAATCAATATTTAAGCAAGATCTGGAGAACCAATATATTGAATCTCTCAAAATACATCAAAAATAATCTATAAACAAATGTTAGGTGTCTTCTCTTTAAACCTTATCTATAAGAAAACAATTGCCTGCTGAGTATTTAATGCAGAATCCCTTTCAACAATTCTGCTTTCCGCACACACCTACAAACCCCCAAAACAAACAGTTCTTTAATGTTTGGCATGAAACAGGAACTGGGGAATTTTTATATTTTCTCATTTCTCTACAGCCTAGATTTCTGCTTTGCTCAAAAAAGTCTACAGTATCTTTTCAATGCATTTTGTTGCTTAGGACACTATAGACTTAGTAATGATGTAGGTCTATATGGCATTTAAGAGATGACTTCTATAGATTAATCTTTGTTGCACGCTATAAACAGAAGCGGAGAAGTCCCAGGGCAATAAAGCTTTCTACTTTGGGGTCCTCACTGTGGACATCAGGGAAGTGTAAAGAATTAGCTCTTCAAATGAGCTGAAATCACAGCAGATAATTTTCTGTTGGACATGAATATTCTACTAAACATCCCCAGCTGCCACCAGCACCTCTGAGGGCAGAGCTGCAAAGGCATTTGGATCACTTGTGCTGGTAGCTAAACAAGAAACAGTCCAGGAATTAGGAGAAATAACCCCCACTATCACTGCTGTGCAGCACCTGCATAAACAGAAGAAATTGCTTTCCACAGGACACAATCCGAAACCTCAAAAGCATTCTTCTCCCCCTAAAGCTGTCTCATTTGCTATAGCTAAGGTTTAATTGCCTTCTATAGGTAGAGAGTTTTCCAGATTAAAGCAAAATCTGCCTTTTTCTTCCCCTGTGTGAGAAGAGCAGCAAAAAGCACGTACTAACCTTCCCAACCCTGCCACGCAGTGCACAGCGATACAGCATCCCGGCTCTTCACGAAATTTGCTTTTCAACAGGTTTAGCCAGTCATCAACTATCTGATTCGGGGGTGGTGCTCCATCATCAAACGGCCAGTCCTTGCAAGGAGAAAAGATACTGGGTGTAAAATTCCCTGAAGCAAATGCCACACAGATTGTAATCCATAAGCAACAGCAAGGTAATCATATTTAACGGAAGGAAACTATTCATTCAGCCAAGAAGTTTACTGTACAGTTTACCAGATGTATAGAAGTTTGCACATCAATATCATACAGTGGCACTGAATTTTTAACAGTTAACTTGGTTTTTTAGATTTAAGAACAACTGCCTTTGAAATCTCATTTTATTCAAAATACATAAAAATGAATAGGCACTTCAATCAGATATTTAAGATGGGAAATGGGAACCTTTTGCCTACGATTGTGTCACAGCCACTAAGGTATTTTCCAGTTAAAAAATGGAAAGCATTTTTTAATGCTCTTAAGCAAAAAAAAACAAAACAAAACACTATGTAGGCAAACAATCCAACAGAATTTATTACTTCATTTCTGCCTGTAAAAGGGGTTGCCAATTTGCGCCACGCTAAATATCACCACCATGGAAATCAAAATCACATGCGAGGAGCTTCCCATTTTCTCCAGGCCACAGCTCCCTCCTGGAATGTGTGCTGAGTGGAGTACTATGCGTCCTAAAATTATATCCAAGTCTAACATGTCACATGTTTCATACTCTTCTCAGAAACAGGGAGTGCTGCAGAAAGAGCACTCCTAGATGCAAGGGGAAAGATGATACCTTGCTATTTAGCACCTGTCATTAGTGGACTGCAGCGCATATTACAAAAGAGATTTATAGCCCGATTTTCATATTATTCAACCACCTCTCCAAATGGTTAAGAAGCTGCTCTGAGAAGAGTCCTGTCTTTGTCGCTGGCTGGCACTGTGCTTTTCAATTATCATCTTGGGGACAGGTAATAGGAGGTGATATTCTCTGAAGCCTGAAAAAAAGGCCTGCAGAAACCCAAGAAGGCAAAGGAAGGTGAGAAAAACACTAGACTTTCCATTTTGAAATACACTTACTGCTACCCAGACGCTTCCTGTGGAACGAGTACAGGTTTGAAAAAAAGATCTCAGCTAAAATGCATCTTCTGAATGTGTTAGCAGCTGCAATCTTGCAAGGTGCAAATCCACATCACAGAACTAGAAAAGCAAAAAGCTTCCAATACTAAATAACTTTGTGATCAATCCAGACATACAAAGTCTGAACCTAATGGGTGTAGTGAATACCTTTTTAAAGAAAATGGAAGTTAAAAATATTTGAGACAAAACCGCAAAATAAAAGGCTAGAGAAACAAGGTTTTAAGATGAAATTGGTGCTTCCTAATGTAGGTTTTTACATGATTATTTGATTTACATAATCATATTAATTTAGTACCAGTGTCTTCCACTGTCAGGGAAAGATGTATGGACCATCAAAAGATCAGGCACTGCCTATTGCAAAGAACTCGCATATCATTTCTACATCTTAAATTAGATTCGAATAATTTCCTCCAGACACCACATACACAAGGTTACTGTCTTACTTTAGCTTGCACATTACCCATCATGTGCCCACAACTCTTGTGCTGGCTGCAATCAATGACAGCCCTTATTTCCCCAAAGAGCATCGCTTTATCATTATTGATAAACTACTGACATTAAATCAGGGCTGATAAAACAGTGGTGTATGGGATACTGCCCAGAATGCGATACAAGAATAATTCTGGGAAGAGAGAAGTAATTGCAGCAAAGTTTCGCAGTTTTTCTCCTGCTTATGAGCTCTGTCAGCAGCACCTCAGAATTCCTGTCAGGCAGCAAAGAAAACAAATTGCTAAGTTCCAAGAGCAAAACAGTCATTAAAAACCAGAGCGATGCACCGAGCTTGTACAAACAGAAAGCATCTCTTTCGTGCCACCCTCCAGAAGCTGAAAAGGATGATATGCAAGACTGGATTCTTCTTATTTACGCTTTACTTAGAGCAGCGCTGCTCAAGAAAAGAGCTCTGGGTTTGTCCCCTGGCCAGATTACCGATGCAGAACTGAGGTGACCAAGAAGCAGCACCAGAACTGAGGTGACAAAGATCCTTTCCTTCCAAATCTACATGGAGCTCACTTGGAATCCCAACCACAGCAGCAAGACACAGCACAGTGGCCGGAGCCTGCACGGGAGGAGACTGTTGCCACCAGTGTGGAGCTTTCCCACCTTCGCGTCCAAAGGGTTTGTGGTTACACAACAAATATCAGGTGCGGCGAGGTCACGTCCCTAACGTGGGTGAGCTGTAGCCCTTCTGCTAAGGCGGGAGAACGCCTGATCCAGGCACGAACCATGAAGAAAAAGCTGACATGAGTAGATTAGTGAAATGTGCCTTAAGACAAACAAACCCATGACAGGCCTTTCCTCACCAGTCAGGGGAAAAATGTTTCAAGGAAAATCAGCAGCAGTTTTTCTGGTGCAACATTCCTACGCAGACAAGACCTTCCCCAGAAACCGAGCTGGGCGAACTGTGCAGAATCCCACAGAAACTAAACCCATCTCCACCTCCCGCCTCCCTGATTTAATCCCTGTTGATAAACATGCGTATGCAGTACTACTACTTCAAACACGGTACATCTCATTCTCTGGTTTCTCACTACGCCATCTGCCAACACAACTCTCTAGCTGCCACACTACCCACCCTGCCAGTATATTATTTTGCATCATGGCGTGAAAGGAGGCTTTGCTAAAACGCTCTCAGTTTCAGGGGTTTTAACTAGGCTTTTGACCTCAACAGTTTTAAAATAGACACTAATCTCTCCGAGGCTGTGTATTTAATCTTCATTATTTTTACAAGCAAATATTAGCTTTAAATAGTGATGTGTTATTTTCTCAGCCAGCTGGTAATTCAACACCATTTCTGCAGAGAGCAGAGCACCGTTTTGGAAAACGCACACGTTCATAGGAAGGAAAAGCTACACAGGGGGCAGGCACGTTGATTACTACGTAGACTTAAAACACCAAAATGCCAACACACTACAGGGAATTTTGAAGGCAATAAAATGAGTGAAATCGGTGGTGACATTAACAGCAAAACCTTCTCTGTCACCCTCTCCAGGTGCCCATCGGCTTGGTGCTCCCTATGGTTCTGCCTTCCGCAGCAAGGGAATAGGGAGAACCACTGAAGTGGATGCAGAGGGGCTGAGGCAAACACACATAGACACATGTCACTCCAAGTGAAAGGCTCTCCACCGAAACGGTCCCAAGCAGAACTGCCTCAAACACCATTTCCAGCCTTCGCAAAGCTTCCCCAAAACCTGGTTTCAGTTCACTTCTTATCACCACCAAGTTTTCAAGATTTCTTGAGAAGCAAAATCCCCCGCCTGTTTCAGAAGTGGCTGCTCCCAGCAGAGCCTCCCGCCTGTCCGGGGCACCAGGCCATGACATTCCTGCCAGTGCCACTCACGGCTTGCCGGGATGCCAAGGTCAGTTGGCCCTGGCCGGGCTGCAGCAGAGGTGGAGCCCTGGGAATCCGGCCTGAGGCTCCCAGGAAGGATTCAAGTCTCTGCTCCACCACAAAAACACTCTAAGCTCCAGTTTAAGCCAGGGCTTCCACACGCTTTTCTGTAGATCTAAGACACCAAAAGTTTAATCCTTCTCTTGCCTATTCTAATTTTAGGACTAGAGGTTCCACGGCAGCGTGTCTGGGAACATTTACAGTGCCCAGTTCCAGAAAAGCTTCCAGACTGAATAAATAAGGCTATTCCATAGCAACAGCTCTAGGAGCCTGCAAGCCTTGGAATGATGGATTTTCCAACACCACTGAGGCACACTTGGCTGCCTACAACTGGAGAAGGTGCTTAGCAAGGCTGGGAGCCAGGAATTCTGACTGATCTAGATGTAGAAGCCCCACAGACAAGCCAGGGTCAAAGCGTTCCTCCTTACAGGAAGCATAAAAGCGTTCCTCCAACTGGGCCGTAAAACCCAGGGGGTTTTAGAAGACTGACTACCTGCAACAAGGCAGCAGGATGCAGTTTCTGGCATCGCAACATAGATTAGTCAGTAGAATAAACTGATTATATCTGACACACTATAATAATTCAGAAGTATTGCCTGGAAAAACACTGCCTGCAAGCTTAACACGAGCACACACCTATTAAAAAACCCTCCCCTAAGACATCAAGTGCTCCTGGATGGTGATGGAGTGGGACAGCCATTGCGTAACGCAGAGGTGAGGAGCAGTCATGGAATTCCACCTGCTGAACAGGGAAGACGCCAGCAGCTACGCTGCGTTTACAGGCCAGGGGTGAGGAGATGACTGCTGTTCTGCTACAGACAGCAAAAAGCCTTGGTTTTATGCAAAACAAGCAGCCTATCTGCACAGTAGCCATGGGCTCAAGAGAGAAAAGGCATCTTTTGATTAACAGAAGGGAGTTTTATCTTCTGAGAGGGCCAGCGGTAAAGTCAAGTGCTGTGTCTAGGGAAAAAAACCTGAACTGAGCTGTATGAACCATGAGGCTGAACAGGCTGTAAGTTCTGCAAATTCACACTGGACTAGCATCAACACATTCTCTAAAGGGCAACCAAACTATCTGAGCAAATCCAGACATCCAAGACCAGAAGGTTCTCTTCTAACTGAAATGTCTGGTCCAGAGTAATGAATCTGAAAGTCCTTTCCACAAAGTTACAGCTAGTTTCTCAAAGCCAGCCTTATCTGATGCAGGGAAGCACACAGCTTTTGGCCAATCTGAAAGAAATCAGGGCATTATTGAACCTAAAACATTAAGCCATCTCCATCATTTGCAGACCAGTATTTTTTCTTCTAGTTTTAGAGAGTTTTTAAAGGTAACTCACTAGAACCTGGATTCCTTCTTTTTCAATAGGAGCTTGATCATAAGTGGCATCACAAACTCGCACCAAGGTTGTCACTCCGTACTTCTTCAGCTCCTTTAAGAACAAGGGAAAAATGTGAGCACACTGACAGAGTGAAAAATTAAAGATTTTTTTTCAATTGCTACAAAACTCAACACACTCTCCTGGGTCAGCAGTATTGCAATCATTCCACAGTTCCACAGAGACTAGACAGTGAAGGAGCAAGGGCCAAATGGGAACAGAGTGTTTGTGACCTACATTAGGAGAAGGGTTACAAATGGTGAGAATAAATATGAAATAACTCTGAAATATTCTTCTCTAGGGAGAGGCTAGAGCGGGAAAAAACTTGCATATATGAAACAGCAAAATGAAAATAGCTGCTCATACTCTCCATGCAGCTTCTTCTTCTCTTTAAATAGAAGCATGGAACTGCTTGCTTCAGCCAGTGTTGACATTTTGAGGCAGGGAGGAACAGAACACACACACCACCATACTCCAGCTTCCTTGTAATGCACTATAAGTAGCACATTGTGCGAGACAAATAATCAGGAGATCAAACAAAAGCTGCTCCAGTTCACTTTGAAGGTTCATACGGCAAACAGAACTTCCTCTCCTGTTTGGACTGAATCACTTGACTTTTAACAATTAGCAGTAATACCTCTTCCAGACTCAAGACTCCTGAAGAGTCTTGAGAGAGATAATCCATAACAACACAGAAAAAAAAAAATAGAGAGACCAAAAGAATGTGAGTTTCAGACAGAATTAACCATTCATATCAGAGTGGACTCATGGTGAAGAACATGTTGCTAAATGATGGAAATCACAGCAGCTGCAGACAGGCATGAGGATCAGATGACAGACTCTTATCAGAATGAAAAGACCTACACATACAAGATAAAAGTCCTCTGGATAGACTAAGGATACTAAGACTAAGGCACAAAGATACAGCAGATGTGGAACAAAGTAGAATGCAAAAGCAAGCTGCACTAGCATTTCTCTGATGATACCATCTGTTACTTTTTCAGAAAACTGAATATTAAATTTTGCAGCATTTAAGACCTCCTAGTGTCAGTTTGATGCACAGCCCATTGTAGTTGGCTCTCTGCCCATCCTCAGATCCGGGGCGGGTGTTATTTTTAATGGACAAATTTTAGCACCTGATATCTGACTATGCTGGGGGTGAGAGGACAATCTGAGCAAATTTCTCCACGAGTTCAACGACTGTTCTTGAGCATTGCAGTTAATCCTGCTCTAAAGGCCAAGAAAGATCAGAAACCAGTTAGGGTCAGAACATGCAGAACCAGAACATGGTCCTTCCTGGACAAGGAAGATGGGAAACGGTGCACTTATATCCTAAAACAGAACCTCTACCCCAGTTAAAGAAATGTAAGATTCGAAAGAGGTGAATTTTCTCCCCACAGGGTCAGGAGAATGCAAACAATCTACTACAGAAAAACAAGTGCCTTAAATAACATGTAAAATATATTTAAAGCTCTGTGAACAACAGGTGTGAAGAGTGTTTAGTATCTCTGCAGAAGGCTTCAGTATATAAGAAAAGGATGATACTTCATTTGACTGCCTTACCTCTGTGAACTTGTTGAGGGTTGCATTGGTTGGGTTGTGAGTGATCAGGAAACGCATATTCTCATAGGTAATTTCCACTGGGGCTGGACGGTTCATAATGGCAAAAAAAATGTGTAAGGGGCCAAAAAAAAACAAAAAAAAAAAAAGAAAAAAAAATCAGTAACTTCTGAAACGTTTCACAGCAGAAAACATTTAAAAGACCACTAGAATGCCTGGGATCGCTCAGAGCTTGCTTTGCCGTGTTTGTTCATTAAAGACTTCGCTTCTAGAAAAGCAACTTTGCTTTAAAATCCGCTTGCCTTCAAGTTAGGCCTCGATTACTGCAGGTGGTATCCTTCAGACTCCAAAACTTCTGACTACATGCAAGACTAGGCAGCCTGTTCTACATTTAGGCACTGGTGAGGCAAAAAAATAAGGGCAGGTTTTCTCTCCACTTTGTTTTCTTGTTGCTTAGTTTTGCTAGAGTCAGTAAAAGGAATATGCTTCCAATATGCAAAAGATATCCCATATATTTGAGAGTGTTCGTTGTGTCTGGAGTCTTCAAGGCAAAGTGATTATGGCACGTAAACCCCCTGCACCCAGCTCACTTGTCAGCCAGGGTGCTGTGCTGGGCCTGGCAGAAGTCTGCCCTCACTCTCAGAATCGCCATAAATGTGCGACGGATATTCCAACAGAACACCTAGAGAGAAGAAAAAGAGCATGTAAGAGGAATTGCTTCTCATTCCACACCCCCCAAATATCAACTCTCCTGCAAGTTCCAACTAGTTGTACTGGTAAGGACTGAAATTTATTTTAAGTCTTGCTTTTCAATCAACTTTGGGGAGGCATACAGCTTTGCCTGCTTTCCTCAAGGTCACTCAAATTAAGCCAGACATGATGTTAAAATACATATATACGTATATGCACACACACACTATCTAGTTTAAAGTTATTATCCCAGATATTCCCTCTACATTGAACACTATCCAGCCCAGCACTGCAGGCCTTCTGACAACTGCTGTTCCTGGCACCCAAGACCCCAGAAGGGAAAACAAGAAAACCTTTTCACCCACTTTTTGCTGCTCCTCCCTCTTAGTCAGGTGCCACAGAAGAGGAGAAAATAGCACGAAGCCAAGTACATATTTGAAAGTGTTTGTTGGTGCAGTCATACCTGTTAACCTTTGGGGCTAAGCACATATACAGAAAAATACCATTGGTGCAGCTTAGCTTTCTGGAGGGGAAGAAAGCAAGCCATACAAGTGGGGACCTTTTCTAAGAGTATAACTGCCATATATTACACCAAATGAAACACTAGAATAGACAACAGGACTTTTATGCTGTCTGAAAGAGACGAATTTAGCCAGAATGACATAATCTGCTTTGGAATAATTTATTAGCAGAACAGACGCTTAAACTGAAAGAAATGTTAAGGTATGTAAACAGCATGAAGAAAAAAAATAATTGCAGAATATAACAGAAATATATATATATAATTTCAAAAATGTATTTGAATAAAAGACAAGCTAGCATTTAGAAATCAAACTCATAACTTCAACAAAAAGGTCAGTGTGGCACACCCAAAGAAATACAATTAGGGGAAAAAAATACAGAGGCCTTGAAGTTCACTCCCCAAACTTCTGGTGCTCTCAGTATTTTAATGAGATCCTCATTTTAAAATAGTCAAATTAAGTACTAGAAAATTATCTTTTTCACAAAGTGGGAAAAAAATCACCCAAAGAACAGCAATTATTTCCTTGAAAAACATCTTTCAATGCCAAAAAAATGCATTAATTAGGTTACCAGAGGCAAGAACAAAGGTTTTCAATAACTTCTCCCGACCTTAAAGGAGTTCTCATCTCAAGCGACTGAAATACAAGTTTCAAAAATGAATTTCAGAACGTTTTATCAGTTTAATGATTACAGGATTAAGTCTCACCCCAGATGGAAGAGTTCCATCTAAACGCATGGATTCAAATCCCAGGATTTGTCAATTCTTGCACATTTGTCAACTTCTCATACATACTACAGTAGCTCAAAGCAAAGGATTTGTTAAAATGCATTACAGTCTGTTGTAGTTATGTCGTACCAAGAATAGAAGAACTCAAGTTACAGCGTCCACATGTGCCTAGGACCTGTGAATCTTTACGCAAGAAAGGCAGCTTTCAGAAAAACAGTTTTCTTTCTCACCTCCCATCGAAATGCACAGTCATTGCAAAGACTTACATTCCAAAGGACGAGTCGAAAGACCACGTTCTCAAAAGTACAGAGCTTAAGGCATTTAAAATAAAATCAGTGGGCAAGAGAACTTGGCATGAGAGATTCAAATTTGGATGCAGAGCACCAGAGCTTCGCAGCATTGCCAAAGCTCACCGTCTCAAGGGGGGAAAAAAACAATTTGGTCTGTATTTAAACAACTTGTTTCAATGTTTTCCCTTTCAGTGCTGATCGTTTGATTGAAAGGGCCTCATCCAGTGCTGTCTACACTGTGCACTGACATGGCCATTGAGGCTGCACTTCTCTTCCCTCAAGCCAAAGAGTTAATTTCTCTTTAATTGTTTTTAAGCTGTTGTGTAAATTCACCAGGTCATGACTAAAGGACACGAGCAGACAGTGTATTCCAGTAAATCAAGAATGGCCCTGGGAGCATTGGCCACCCTTTGGTGACTGTGCAGGGTGCAGCCTTGGCCAAGTCCCTTTCGGTAGCTCAGTGTGTCTGTGGAACAGGAATGACACCACCTTACCTTCCCCTGGGGAGTATTACAAGGGAGTTTAATTAGCTAACTGCTCAGAAGTGATTAAAAAATGACAAGCACTGAATTTAAGCATAAAAAAAGACTTCTCGAAGGATAAAGACTCTTAGAAGTTTATGTAGCACATAATTCTATTTTAAAAACAATTTGGTTAATGACACATATATTCCTTACTCCTATGGCCTTCAACTGCTATACACCAAGAAGTAGAAAAAAAGCAAGTTTTAAATTATGAAAGTGAAAAACTCTCTACAGCTGAGTTCTGATCTCCCCAAGCAAATACTCCAAATTTCTTCCTCCCCATTAGGGTTAGCAATGCGAATTTGTATTTAAAAATCCCAAGAAAATCGAGCACTTGTTAGGACAATTATGATAAATAGTAATTATGTGCATGTATACTATGAAACAAGAAATTTTTCAGTCAATTAATCCTCAACTTTTTTTTTTTTTTTTTTTTAAAGAACACTTAGAAAGTGACATAGAACATGGAGAGAAACCAAAAAAATTACTCCATGGCTTATTTGGTCAGCCTCAGGAGGAAGGGAGCACAACTATCTAACACATCAACACTAGAAACCAGAGGAGGAGGAAAAAAACAGAGACAGCAGCACAAACAAGTCAAGCAATAACAACCCTTGCATTAGAAAAGAACAAGATATGCTTGGGAATTGGTTTCTGACATTGTTTAACTTAATCAGCGGGAATTAATCACCAATCAAGATGCCTATCTACACATTCAGATCTATTGAACTGTGACAGTCCTTGCATCTATGGAGAAGACTATTTAAACCTACCAGCCCTGTGAGCACTAGGGCCAGACTGCCCGGCCTCCCCACCCTTCACACTTACTTGATAAAGCCCAAAGAGGTCAATCTGAGAAGAATGTCATTCCAAATACCAGGAATGTGCAAGAATGCACTTAAAATATAAACCTGGGACAGACCCTCTATCAATTACCCCATTTGTTTGTGCTACTTAAAGAAAACAGTTAAATGAATTCCTGACTTGTCAGAAGCTCTGCAATTGCCTTAAGTATAAAAGCAATACACCTACGACACCCGTTCCCAGCAGCTGCCTAGCCTAGCACTGGATTAACTCGTAAATGCAGTATTTAAATTAAGCAAACCACTTACTCTTCTGTATTGATCCTGTACAAGTTAGGGAAATGGTGCTTTTAAGAAATAAGCAATCTTGTATGGTATTGCTAGCTACATCTCCTTCAAAACACACATTTCCAAGTGTTTCCTTTGCTGCACCAAGACAGCCCAACAGCCTGCAACAGCTGCAGCTTCCACAGATTGCAAAACTGAGATACCGCTGCAAAGGGCACTTGGATCGCCTTTCAAAATAAGCCAGTGCACAGGATGCAAAGCAAAGCCTGCTAATTTGTCAGTCAATATTGAAAGAATACTTCAGTGCTTTAAGAACAGTATTTTTCAAACTGCCTCAACTAATTTTGTTCACATAACTGGAAATCTACATGTGATATGTAAATGAAGTTACTTAATAAGCTGCTGATTTTTTCTCCTTTGCCTCTTCTATAAAATCTCCTTCTTGTGCTTTGTATTTATACACACACACAAAAAAAAAAAATAGCAGGGAAAAAAACAGTGCATGGGACAATTCAAAACCTAATCATAAAAAAGTTACAATTCCAGTACTGCCCCGCAACCCAGCTAGACTTTTACTGACATTTTGAGTACATTACATTCCACTTTATGCATCTTCCTGCTAAAAGAGCTCTGTTCCATCAATACTGTCAAAAAGGTCTCGAGGAGCTGCTGCTTCTGGAGCAAAAGTCACTCTTCAAGTGAAAGAATCCATCAAGACCTCCAAAACTAGTCAACTTGAACACATCAGAAACACAACATTACTAACAACCCAGGCAACTCTTCTCCAAAATATATTTTCTCCAAAATATATTTTCTCTGTATACAGAGAACTAATTGTGACTAACATTCTCAGGAAGAAAAAGAAAAAAAAATATCAGAAAAATCTTGTTCAATCTCTGAAAGAAGCTTGTTCAGAGCGACACGTGCCCAGAGAGGGGTGAGGTCAAAAATTCTGCTGTTCCACCCTGTCCACCCCCGCCTCCCAGCTCCCTCCCAGTTTGCTGACAAGTTCTGCTGGTGACTCATTCATTTCCTTTTCACTCTGGCCTAGGCCTTAAAGTCAGCAGCAGCGGATATAAACCTGCCTCAGAAAGAGTTTATTTTTTTTATTTTTATTTATTGAAATCTCAAAAGTGAAACATCAGGAAAGAATAAAGAACTGTCAAACAGACCTAGCTGGACTACTGTGCAAGAGAGCAATCATGCATGGAAACTCCTTTGAGTTCTTCAGAAGTTATCTGCCTTCCTGTGGGTGAGGTCAAGCCATTAAATAATCAACAAGGGCATCAATGCATGGAGAACATCATCCTGGCAAGTTCGCCAGGGGGAAGTTATTAGATACTCCACTAACTTTCAAATTTTTGAGATGTGTTTTATGCTACAGACCTTTTCTGTGGGAAGGAACCGCTTTGCAACTTAAAATGCTGTTCAGATGTTTATGATTATTGAACACTTTCCTCACCCACCACTTAAATAAAAATCTTTAGAAGGAAGACACATTTGAATCTCATTTACATACCACAGCGAAAAGAAAATAAAGTTCCTAAAATCATAACTGTTCGAACAGTAAAAACCAAAAGGCTTTCTAAAAAACAAGAATTTAACGCTTATTACCCTGCTGTATTATGTCACAGAATTACATCTGAAATGTAATGAAATTAAGAGAAAGTTAAAGAAGTTACTTTAGAAAACATTTTGATTATGTGAGTGATGAGAACAACTCATTCCTAAAAATCAGAATGTCGAGTTGTCTAAAGTGTCTCAACTGCTGGCTTTTGAAAATGTATTCTTGATAATCATATTCCCTGACAACTCAGACTAAATATTCTTCTCACATT